GCAACACAAAGGAAGAACGGTGTTGTTTACTTGAATGAGAGGATGTGCCATGAACGTGGGGAGTTGTGGGCACAGAAAATAAAGAGCCCGTTTTATTTGGAAGACCTTGGGGAACTGTTTATTTTACAACAAAGTAGTATCACTTTGTGGCCTCCTTCTTCCCGACGGCCGATGGGATCTGGCTAAGAACCCCACAGCATGCAACATCCATTTCGCTGCTGAGTTTACATTTCAGCAGAACAATTCCAGAATGAATCATTGCATGCACAGGTTGTTGGTTATGCCCGGTTTGAAGCCCATTTTCAAAGCTCTTTTCTACTTTGTGTTCAAGGCTAAGTATGCAGAGATTTATGTGGAGATTTCTTATTCTTCTTGAAAAATATAAAATCTTTCACCAGAGTATTTTTCTCACGCAGTGAGGCAGTGCTGGGCCTCCTTGTTGTTATTCTCCATAAGACCTTTTCAACTTCTACTCAAATCTCTAGCATTTTTATTTAAGAAAGAAAGGGAGCAATTGAGAACAGAGAAATTAGCCTCTGACATGATCTAAAATGGGACGGGACGTGAATGCACCCCTTTAAAATCAGCAGAATGTGAGAGAGAAACCAGTAATTTAAGGGGAAAAAACTGTGTGCCATCAAATACGAAACTGATTTTAGGAAGATTCAATTTCTCCAAATCCCCTACTTCTAAGACCCAGCAGGGTCTGAGGAATGCGTAGTTGTCTAAAGGGATGACAGTAGCTCAACACTGAAATAAACCTGATTAAAGAATGATTTTGATCAAGCGTGCATTATATATCCAAGAAGGATATGGCACCAGTTTACAAAGAGGGGGTTTCATGGGACAGGAATCTGGGAAATGAGTAAGTGGTAAACTCAAACGAGGCTCTCCCATTTATATGCTGTGTGGCCTTAGACAAGTGTCTTAAGTTCTCTGAGCCTCAGGTTCTTCATCTGTAAAATGGGGATAATAATAGTACCTACCTCAGAGAATTGTTATTAGGATGAAATGTGTATAAAGTACATACAGCAATCCCTGACACAGAATAAGTGCTTCTTAACAACAGTAATAAAAAAAACCTACCAATAATTACTACTCTACTCTAAAATCTCTATAAATTTGAAGTCTCTGTTTCTATGAAATGATTTAGTCTCTATGTTCCTTCTACCTACTTCAAATCTTCCTAAAACCAAGAATTTTTAACACTTATAGCAAAAAATACCAATTCAAAATTTATAAACAAAAATGCTTTTGAAATTTCCGAAGATACACCTACACATACACCAAGTCCCTTAGTGATGAGAATATCTGCCCCGGTGAAGATGGGAAGGCCAAGACATTATGGGGAGCTACACAGGGTCAGAGTTTATCTTTATATCTCTTTGTCTCAGTTTATAGAAAAAGAAAGGCCCCAGCTTCCAGACAGCCATGAAAACAAAATAAACAGGCATGTAAATGAGATGTGTTTTGGATGTGGGTTTGTATATATTGGCAGCAAGAGCAGTGAAACTTTGACTCTACTTTCTTATTCTTTTTTCTGTCCCCCCTCAGTGCCAAAGGAGCTATTTTAAAAAGCATGGGTTTGTGTTTTTGATCATAATGTTATGGCAAAAGGGGAGATGACCTTTACGTTTAGTCAGTAGCTGTTACACAATCAGCAAGTTCCGCATGGCAGCACTTCACGTTTGGTCACCAGTAATTTGGGTATTCTATGGTTCTTTCACTTGCCCTCACAATTAAACAGAACTTACTAAGCCTAAACATGGTTAGGTAGTAATTTATTCCTTAACTCATTAAAAGAATATATATTCCTTCCCAAGGTCTACCCAAGCATCTTGCAAGGCCCAGTCTGGTATGGAATAATACACAGAGATAAGTGAGTGTGCTAAATCTTTACTGATGCTTGCAGGTGTTAATCCAGCTCTGTGCACCACGACTGAGACAGAACGTAACAGCTGGAAGCATTTCAGGATAAAGAGATAACCTACAGAAGCACCCATGTGAGATACAATTCCACAGAAGACCTGGGCTTCAACTCAACAGGTGCACATCAACAAGTGCAGACTGGAATGCCATTATTTACACAGTGTCCTAACTCTCCAGCATTTCATTTCTTATTTTCGACCACTCCGTGGGGGTTAAATTCTGGGACAATTTTCCTAGAGAGAAGAATGATAATCTCTGGCAAACAACAACAACAAATGCTAACTTTGTATGTTTTATGCACTAATGTTTTTTCCTGGGGAGAAAGGGGGGAAAAAACCCTAAATTCCTTCTGTGGCCTAATATTTTTTTCAAACCTTACCTGAGAAACCAATGAAAGCACTGTCTATATCATTCCAGAATTTTGACAGAAACCAGAAAAATTTAGTAAGTGTTCCAAATAGTTTTCTTTATACAGAATTGAACAACATGGAAAAACCTCACCATGCCACTAACTGAATTTCTCTATTTTCTTTGGATATTTGGTGATGGATGGTCTAAGACTGTCCATTAAAATACACTCACATAGGGCGCCTGGGTGGCTCAGTTGGTTAAGCGACTGCCTTCGGCTCAGGTCATGATCCTGGAGTCCCGGGATCGAGTCCCGCATCGGGCTCCCTGCTCGGCAGGGAGTCTGCTTCTCCCTCTGACCCTCCTCCCTCTCATGCTCTCTGTCTCTCATTCTCTCTCTCTCAAATAAATAAATAAAATCTTTAAAAAAAAAAAAATACACTCACATAAAATATGTAGCAGGAAAAAAGAATATGTGCTCATGAAGATTTATCTAATCTTCATTGCTAGCTTTCTGTTGTAAAACAAACCTAACTTTTCAATTCCCAAATCTCTGCTCCCATGATGGTATTCTGCAGGGAGAACTGTATCTAACAAAATCGGTATCAAATTAGATTTGATCCATCCAAAAAACCAAATAATATCTCTAAAGGAGAGGGTGGGGGAGATGGGATCTCATCCCTATACTCCCTATAGAAAGAGTAAAATTTAAATTGTGAAAATGAGTAATGTTTAAAATGTGTATCTCTTTATTTGCATCAACAAAAAGATTCACAGTTTTGAGACCTGTGTTAGAATAGTTAATACCAGCCTCTGAAATTAACCACCTCTGCATATCAGTGCCTTAGCCCCACAAAGATTTATCTGTCACACAGGCAAAGTCCACTGTTGGTGGCCTTGGGCACCTCTCCCCCCAATGGCTTATGGGCCAGGATGCCTCCCGTCCTATGGCCTTGCCACCTTGGAGCTTTTTGCTTCTAGCTGCACAGATGGTAGAGAGAATGGGAGATCATGTGGAACAGTCTTGAAAAAAGCAACAGACATTTGAACTGATTTAAATGACACCTGACTGTCTAGGGGTTACGACCTCAGAGCCTCGCTGGCTTTAGTATTTTATCTACAAACAACCTGTTACACAATTCCTGGATCTTCATAAATCACATACACTCCTCTTAAAGGGTAAAGAAGCAGACAAGTGGACAGGCCAACACACAACGGCCACAGCCTGATTTACTGGTGAAGGGTAGTATAAATCACCCGTAGAAAACGCAACAGTCACATTGCTCACAAATGATACGGCAATCGCTCTTTAAACGTCTTCTGCCCACTCATCAAGCACCCAAGATGAATGAATATGCAGAGCTTTTAAATGGCCCTTCCCATCTGTTAAGAGCCGGGGACCGCTAAAAACAAGACATCCGGCCCAAAATGGAGTTGGTTACGCTCGCCCAGAACAGGACTCTTGAACCAGGCCAGCGAGAACCACCCGACGCACTCCTGCCACCCGCCCCACCCCCCGGGGCACCCCTGCAATGACCAACCCGCCTTCCGCCTGGCCTCACAGCCCTGTTTCCTCTCCCTTCCGCCTCAAAATCTTCGCTTCCATACAATGCCTTTCGGCACCAGTCTGCACGCTGCCCGATGCCAATCGATTCTGCTCAAATCAACACTTAGGATTTTAACACGCCTCAGTTTATCTGTTAACAGTTCTGGGGTCAGAAGAGGGGCTGAAAGAGACCCCCCACAAACACCCCCCCACACACACGCGCACACACCCGCCCCGGGAGGACCGAGCAGCAAGGCCTAGTACCTGCCCAACTGTTGAACCCGAGGCTCCGTCGCCGCCTCTCGAGGTGGTGAGTCCCTCTCAGGTTCCTGGCTTCGCAGTTTTTACGTTCACGAGCTTTCCGGCTTCACTTGAGCGTTTCTCTCTCCAGACTGGGTCTGGAAACTTCTGGAATCGGACTGGGTCCAGTCTGACTAATAAGGGCTGCATCACACCGGATCCCACGGCTGACTGGGTCGACGTCAGCTAGGTCTTACGTCAGACCGGGTCTCACGTCAGACTGGATCCTACGTCACACTGGGTCCCACCTCAAACCGGTTCCCACCTCAAACCGGTCCCCACGTCAGACTGGTTCCGACGTCAGATTGGGGCCCACATCAGACTGAGTCGACGTCAGACTGGGTCCTACGGCATACTGGGTCCCACCTCAACCCAGTTCCCACCTCAAACTGTGTCTTCCGTCAGACTGGGTTCCACCTCAGATTGGGTCCCACATCAGACTCGGTCCCACGTCAAATGGTCGGACATCACCCTGGGTCGTACAAACGGGACTAGATTTAGGGTCAGACCGTGTCCAACATAGAAACCGGACTAGATTCAAGATGGACTGGATCCAGGGTCAGACTGGGTCCGACTTAAGCTGGACTGAGTCCAGTGGGAGACCTCAGGTGAATAAAATCGTGTTTCCAGGCTGCGCAAGTAAATTAACCTAAACAAAGTTAATCTTGAATTACTGTGGCCACAGTGGAAAACTCTGAACCTCTTAGATAAGCTTATCCATTTATGAAGTGGTCTGGAGAAAAGAGGGTGTCAGCCAAGCACTAACTAGAAAGGGTAAAAGGGAAATTGTTTGCCCGCCTCTGCAGTTTCTGGTGACCAGGATGACATCTGCTGGGACATTCCACTGAGTCCAGAGCCTGCAGCCTGGGATCCTGGGAAAACTGGCTGGAACCGGCAGAGGGTGACAATCCTTTAAAGTCAGCTCTCCCAAATTTCTGTGGCGCCTGGTCCAAGAGAGGAAGGTAAAATTTCACCTTGTCTCTTCTTTTCTAAGTTCAGGATGGCCGGGAAAAAAACATTTGTAAGAATTAGATCTTTGAATGTGACTGGTGAATTTGCTTTTACGGAACCCATTTGTTGCGGATCCTTTTTCTCCCACGGATAGCTATGGTCTTCCTGTTTGTCTCACTTGTGTGTCCTGAGAACTTGGCTTGGCAACTGTCAAGTTGGAGAGTCCCCAAAATATTGTCAGACAGAAATGTGAGTTGTACTCCAGGTGCAGATAGGGTCCTATGAGCTATTGCCAGGTCTCGGGAGAATTGTCTTTCTTTCTTTTAGTTATTTTTGGGAGGGGCTCTGGACTTCAGGAAGATAGTATCTTCTGCACCGTCTTTGGGGATGGCTCTTGTGTTTATGGAGTTGTTTAATAGTGCCAGCAATATTTACTGTTTGTCCTGCTGAAACCTGACAAAATATTTGAATTTTTTTTTTTTTTTTTTGTAGTTGCTCTATGGTCAGAAGTTGGCCAAACTGGAAGCTGATATTCAGAGCCTGATAGGAATTTTTTTTTTTTTTAGGCCTCCTTCTCTAAGCTAGAATGAAACTATGTAATGGGGGTGAATATAGGGGTGAGAGGGTATAATAAAAATTCTGAAGCCTTTGCAGAAGAATTTACCAAAACATTCCAAAGACACACAGCTCTAAATATAAAATATAGGAATCTTTTGATTTCCATCTTCTCCCTGCTATAGAGAAGCAAATTGAAAATAATGTAGTTGGGGAGGGTGCCTGGGTGGCTTAGTCCGTTAAGCTTCAGACTCTTGGTTTTGGCTCAGGTCATGCATGACTCAGGGTCAGGGGATCGAGCCTCCTGCATTGGCCTCCATGCTCAGCAGGGAGTCTGCTTGAGACCGTCTCTCTCCCTCTCCTTCTGCCCCTCCCCCCTGCTCACAGGTGCGCGCTCTCTACAAATAAACCTTTAAAAAAAGAAAAGAATGGAGTTGGACGGGTGGGTCTGCACCTTACATTTACAGTATGTTTGATCTTATCTATTTTTTAGTTGCACACTTCCTACCCTAGCCCCCTTTTTACATTTTTTATTAATTATTATTTATAGAATAAATAATTTATAGAGAATAATTATTCTCTAACCTCTGAGCCCATTCTCCGCCTACCAGTTCACCACAAGCAAGCACACACACAAACACTGAATTCCAGTTCTCTGGGAAGGAGACACCAAGATGCTACCAGAAGAGCAGGAGGTTTATTGAACGAAAGACAAAGGAGAGATGAAGCAGGGAAGAGCATTGTCAGGCAGCTCTGACACCTAGAAACAGAGCCTCAGGCTACTATGCAGATCTAAGATCTCAGCCAGCCAATGGAGAATCATAAAGCAAAGACAACTGGGCAGAAAAGGCCCAAACAGAGCCCCCTGCTGTGCTCAGTCCTTGGCTGGATGCCTCCCAGGAGGCAGGGCTTCCTGTAAATGCTAGGATAGATCCCAATCACGTACATATACATGTGATGCTTACCAAATTTTGCTTGACAAAATTTACTTACTTTACATTTTAAAAGTATTCAGTTTGGCTTTTGTACCATTTACATACATACACACATACATATGTGTATACATATTTACATAAAATTCAGTAAGAATTTACTGGGTTCCTACTCTCTTCTTTAGACTATGTGTTTTTTCCATCAATTTCATTTACCTCTAATATCTCTAGAGTAAATCTAAGTAGTTTTATCAAAAGTGTACACAAATTGTTCATATTTTCTTTATTTTCACATCTGAGAAAGTCTTTCTGTTGCTTTTGCTCATGAATGACAACATGGCATAGTATGGAATTTTTGAATCTTGCCTTTTACCACTCCAAACTGTAGGAATTCCAGATTTATCTCTTAATGTTAAGTAATACTAAGGAGAAAGGGCTTACTTTTGTTCCTTTGTACATAACCTAAGTTTTCTGCTTGAATGTGTAGAGAAATTTTTTTAAGTCCTTGAAATACAAACATTTTGTCAGTGTACATTTATGTGTGAGCCCTATTCTTTTTAGTATGTTTTTCAGATTAATCTTACCTGGAAATATGAGTCATTATTTATAGATTTTGACCTCCATTTTAAAGCAGGAAATATTTCTTTTATATCTCCAATAATCCAATAATCATTTCTGTACTCATTATTTAGTTCTTTTGCCCAGATGCAAAAGCACTGGGGCTATTAACATTTTTATCTGAAAACAGACTGGACATAATACCCTTATGCTTCTCAATGTCAGTTTAAAAGTCCTAAGAGCTTTTTTGCTAGTCATACTACTAAGCCCCACTTTTATAGCATCATCTTGAAATTTGTCACCCCATTCCTTTACTTCTGTTTCTTACCCAGTCTCAAGTACTCCTCTGGGAAGCAAAAAGAGGTCTCTTAATCATCTGTAGTTTATTAAGTGTCTAATAGACAATAGGAGAAAGGCAGTGCTCTGTTTTCCCAGCATTTCAGCTGAGTACCAGAATTTGGGGCCAAATTACAACAAACCCTTTTCTAATAGAAAAAAAAGAAGAAAAGAAACCTCAGGAGTTCTATCATGTCCTAAACAAAGCGAACAAACTTGGGTGTTTAGGGTCTTATCCAAAAAACTTTGTCACTATAAACCAAGTGCAACTCAATGTATCTCAAAAAAGATGAAGGGCTAAGTCAATGTGGCTATAATTTGAACTTAACAGTTCTAGGGAGTCTCCCTGTTTCTAACCTGAGATTTAGACCACTAAACTATCTCCCCTAGTGGATTTGTTTGCTTTTTTTATTTCGTTGGTTAAAAAATGAGTCACTATAACCCAAACACTGCAAGAATCTGCTTTTAAAAGAGCATTAAAACTGCTTGATTGATTCGGTGGGATCTTGGAAACTCTGTTTTGTTCTCTGAAAATTATGAAGGCCTTTATTCAATTCTGGACAATCAATGGAGGACGTTACAAAGGCAGTCTCGTCTTCAACTTATCATCCTGAAAACCCTCACCCCTGCTCCTCATCCCTTCCTAAATGGCCCCCTCCAATTGCTCCTAAAAGACACCTAAAAAGACTGAACAACCAGGGCTTCACATACAACATACCTAATCAGGGCAGAACACAACGGGACTAATACTTTGTGTATTGAGGCTAGCACTCAGTCACTTATTCACTTACACCGAGCATTTGTTGAGTGCCTAGTATGTTTATTCACTACACCAAATGCTCACAATACAAAGATGAACAAGACTGAGGCCCCGGAGGGCAATCTAAATATTCTATGATCATAATTACGATAAAGAGGAGGAAGAAGGAAGCAGAAGGAGAAGGGAGGTAGTGTTATCCCCATTTTACAGATGACAGAACGGAGGCATGGAGAGGTAAAGGAACATACCGAAGCATACAATGTTTGCAGTTAGCAGGACCAAAATTCTAAGGCTTGAGTTGGCCTTCAGCATACACAATCATAACCTCCGTGCTCTACTATCTCAATAGGAGACTGAACAAACAAATCAGAAAAGGAATTCATTGTAACTGCATTTGCCTCTTGATTCAGCTGAAGTCACCATCTTCACACCAGTTATGTAGTACAAGCTCAGGGTGCTAAGTAGGTGACCAGACATTCTCGACCACTGGGGAGAGTAGCAGGTCATCTCTGCTGTTGTGTTGTAATTACTAGTAATGCCAACTTTCACTCCCTGAAATATACCCATTCGGGTAGTAAATTATATAGTCATCCCAGCACGAAGAGAGCCACATTCAAAATATGGTGGGAAGACAATGAGAGAGCAACTAATTTTCCATGAGGGAAGGGTCTGGTGCTCTAAATGACTGTTTTATGGTTTATAAGAAATCACTGTTTTGCATTTCACCTGCTAAACAAATCATCCTGCATTCATGTACTGGCAGGCAAAGAAATATCCAAAAAAGAAGATACCAGAAAACTTGTCTAATTCATGAATTGGGTCCTTCTTATTAAATTGAACAATTCCAGGGGTCCCTGGGTGGCTCAGGAGGTTAAGTGTCTGCCTTCAGCTCTGGTCATGATCCCAGGGTCTTGGAATGGAGCCCTGCATCTGGCTCCAAGCTCAGCAGGGAACCTGTTTCTCCCTCTCCTGCTGCCGCTCCCCGACTTGTGTGCTCTCTCTCTCTCTCTGTCAAATAAACAAAATATTTAGAAAAAAAATTAAAAAGTAAATAAATTGAACAATTCCAAAAATACATTTTTGAACACCTGCTACATACCAGGCACCGCGCTAATGGTACATGGATGAGGAGGTCATTGTTTCTTGAACTAGACTGTAAACACCTTACATGCAGGAACCAAAACACACAAAAATATGACACAATAAGTAGAAAGATAAAGTATGTATAGCGAGTTAAGTGAGAAGACATACTTGTTCCAAGCTGGGCATTCAGAGAAGTCTCCTGGAGGAAACAATTGAAGTAATCTTTAAGGATCAATAAGAATGAAGGCAAATAAATAAAAGATTCATTTTTTAAAATAATTTAATTAAGTTTAAAAAGTGAAAAGGTCAAAAATTGAAATGAAACTTAAGGCAGAAAGAACAGTCACCCAGACACCATCAGGCACGAATTTTGCTCCCCTCTGAAGGGAAATGTGTCCCCCTGCAAAGAACAGGATTACATACAGAACAGCTGAGATGGATCTAGATGGTAAATCTAGTTAGATGATAAATGTTTAAGCTTAAAGTGAGCTAAGCCCTAGGCACACCCAGATGACTAGAGTGTGAAGCCAGCTCTTAAGGAAAACCGTGTTATAGTGGGAGTCACTCACTAATTAAATAGAATTTATTTGATGACTTAAACTATCTTTCCCTAACTTGGGAGAATGCCTCTCTTTATTTTCATGCTGTCGTTTCAATTTAATGTGTTTAAACTGTATGTTAAAATATGCCTGATACCTTGCTTCCTGTGTTCTACCCAACAACCAACAGAAAATGTGATCCCATTGCTCAGTTGGACATTGTAAATCCATCTACCAGATATCTTTCC